ACCAAGAAAACTATACTCTAATTTTATAAAATAAAACATATCATATGGGTTTTAGATAGATACACTGAACTATATACCATTTTCTTTCTTCAATGATTAAAAACAGTTTTCTTTTAAGTATTAACTTATTATTATAAAAATAAAAATTCTCAGCAGCCATTGGTCCTGTGTGAAAATTAATATGGTTGTTACTTGTTATTGGTTAGTGTTGCATGAGGACCCATTATTTTGAATTTGCCAAATCAAAGGAATAGCAACGGGACAACCACGTCCTTATATTCACTATTCTCTTGCACATTTATATATCGGATTCATAATTATATACATTGTATTTTAAGGAAACTGATGACTTTCACGATTCAAAGCTAATACGCAATATAACTCGTTATTATTACTGTTAAAATTGTAAAATTATGATAAATCACATATCAAAACTAAAACTTGAATTCCTCACTCTCATCGTCTTTGTTCTTCTCAATCTTGGATCTCTCATCCTCATTCTTCTTCTTCTAACTTTTGGAGCAAAACCCTTTAAATAATGTGTTAATTTGTTAGCAAGTAACATTTTAACTTCCTTAAAATCATTCATAGCTTCTAAAATCTTTCACAATTTTTCTTTTCTACTTTCATGTTATTTTAAAAAAGTTTTTATAATAATTTTTCTTATAAAAACAAAACTAGAAGTGATAATAGTCAACGTTTTGACTTTTGAGAGCCAATTAAAATGGGCATTTAGTGTAAGCCCATACAGTATTTAAATTGTTTTTATTGAGAAGCCCATATCTATGAGTGAATAATGTTCGAACCTTGGAACCAGACACGCCATTATAAATCCTGCGTCTCTCTCATTTCACCTTTCTCGTTCTCTTCGCTCCTGTCCCTTGAAATCATCAAAACCTCTAATTCTTCATAAACCCTAGCTTTGTAGGTAAGTATGAACATCAATATCAATCTCAGAATTATCTTTTGTCTAAATTTTGTTCGCATTTCGAATCGCTTGAAAAAACTCTGACTCAATTCTATTTGCATGTGTGTTGTTTCTTACAGAGTCGATTCGAAAATCATGGATCATCAGCCCGAACCAGTTGATAAACAGCCTGAACTACTAGTTATTTACGTCTGCGGAGGTTAAAGTTCGAAAATTTCATTTTAAATATGAATTTTTGGTTTGAAGTTGGAACTTAATACTACTAAATCATAGGAAGATTTCTGATTATTTTTGTGATTAAAGTTTTGCATTTTTGTCTATAGTTTGCTTAATTTGTGTGACTGAATCATTTGATTTTGAAGATTGTGGACAAGAGAACATTTTGAAGCCTGGAGATGTGTTCCAATGCAGAGAGTGTGGGTTCCGTATTCTCTACAAGAAGCGTATTCTCGACAAGAAGGGTGACCGTATAGGTTGTGTAAAATACTAATCCTTAATTCTCCTTTTTGTTTGTAGCTGCTCTTTTGGTTTTGTTCTTATATTGTGACACTGAGTTATGGCACAATTTCGAACACAAATGTTATAGTAGGGATCTGGTTTTCGAATCTGTCTTGAGTTTGTACCTATATTCTGGTCTACCCCATTTGTGTGTTTGGATTGCTAATCTGTTGGTTTTCTTGTACATACAAAATCTAGATGTTGTGAACTTGTTTCCTGCTAATTAATATGGTCCTTTATTTTTTTGCAGTTCAATACAAAGCTATCTGAGTGCCACAACTCCTGAAGATAGTTCAAACTACACTTATTGCCAGTTGTTTGTAATATATGTATTGAAGTGGGTTTTGGTAAATGGCATCTTTTGGTTTGCGTACTGTGACTGTAATCTCTTTGCTTTTTTGGTATCCTGGAAAACTATAACTTCTCAACAAAGTTTTCTGGTTGGCGTTGTAATCCTTTACTGGCTATATCTCCTCTCAAGTTATTTATCTTCATTTGCCACTTAAACAAGGCAAAACATCTATTTGGTCAGCTTATAAGGTGAAGGTTCTTCAAGATGATTTCATGGAGGGTGGTGCTGAGATCATCAAGTCAGATGTGCTGTGAAAAAAGCATGAGAGAGAGAGAGAGAGGACAAAACAGAGTAGCCATGCTTAAACTGCTTCAACATGCAAATGGCCCCATCAGATTCTCAACATGTGATTAAGGTCTATCTAAAGTACTCACCCCATCATTGTATCTCCTCTCCATTTCTCTTAACTCTTGTCTACTACCCTCGTACTTGCCTGCCTTGTCCGTAGTGTCAAGATCATCTCCATGTCGTTTTTTGCCTTCACCATAACCACGAGAATCTTCTCCCTGTCATGACGATTGTGCTCTCTCTTCTCTCGCTTGGTATTTTTAGGTAGATCACCATCAAACACCATTCCATGTGGACCTTGCATGTAAACCATTTTTGTAGATTAATACCGCTTAGTTTGATAACTTTCAAAGTAAATAATTGGAAACGAAGGAAGGATTTCATGATTTGTTTGGGTCTAAAGAGGAAAATATGCTTTACCCTTACCCTTTTGGGAGTCTTTCCGCCGGAAATGTGACCAACGTGTATGTTATATATCAAGACTGAAATATACTTTGTATTCTTATATCATCGATTGATATATTTAGAGTTTGACATCGAAAAGAAGAGAAGGAAACAGAGCCAAGGTCAACTTGCCGGGCACCATAATCAGTTAAGATTTGTTGATAAAATCGGCAAGTCATCCTTGGCTCAATCTCATTCTCTATTTTTCCATGCAAAACTCTATGATACTTTTTTTTTTTTTTTTTAACTCTATGATACTTGACTCTCATCATTTCTTTTATGTACCTCTCATATTGTCTTGTGATCTTGTTATGAGAAAACCCTTACTCATGATGAAGGTATTTATAGGCTTAAGTGTAGTGAGAAATATGTGAATTAATTTAATTGAAATTTAAAGTTTTTGCATAAACTTTTCCATTTATAGAATAGTCAATAGTCTTATCCATGCATGGTTTTAGTGCATGCAGGCAAAAAAATGAAAACGATAATGGAATTTTGACCATTACCGTCTATTGAAGAATATATTTATCTTATTCGAATTCCAAATTTTGGGTGAATAATAGTCGTACCTCACTACTGCAAAAGGCATATCGTATCTGTCTGCGACAGAAAAATCCACCGGTCGTACTTATTGTATGATTTGGACTCATAGTCTTGTGGTTAATGACAAAGAAAATATCGATCGTCTCACAAAAATTGAAAGATACTTATGTAATATTCATGTTCCTTTTTTTATTTTTGAAGAATTGCCACAAATTTCAAATTTTGGATAAAATGGAATATAAATGTCGACAAAAATGGCATATATATAGAAAATTCGAGATTTTCCTTTATGTTGAGAATATATTATTTGGAAACTCATCTTATTGTCAAAGGAGCACTACTACAGTAAGTAATACAGTGCAATTAATTGACTTCTTTTTATCACTCACTAGTCACTAGTAATTTTACTTTTGTTAAAGGGCTTCACTATAGTAAAAGAAAAGTGCAAAATTTCTTATTATATGAATCTGATACTAGAAAAGAAAATGAGAAATTTTTGATGTAGATGAGTGTAATAGTTGACCAAAAATGGTGTTTTTAATGTTCCAAAGAATCCTGACAGCAAAAAAGATGTTCCGAAGAATCTTATCTTATTTGTGGTCTGACCGAATTGGTATCTATTTGTCCAATCGGATAGGACATTTCATACTTTCATGATGTGATCTATCAATAGATAGAATAAAATTAACTTTATTGCTTAAATTAGTTTAGTAATTTTATCTACTAGCTTGACCTTAAGAATTAACATCAAAAGAGATCGAGTTGTTTTCACACACTAATACAAGTAAAAAACCATTTCATTCCTCGAAAAGAAAGAAAGAAATGAAACCGTTTATCTAAATCCCTTTGTTTTTCTTAGAATTGTTTTTAGTTAAAAAGTTTCATAATATGAAACCTATACTAATTAGAAAAACAATTTTTTTTTCCCGATAAAAAAATGTAAATATTAATTGATGATACAAAATGTCAAGATTCTAAACCTTATACTTGTCTCATGGTAAAAAAAAAATTTAAAGTATTGAAACAAAAATCCGAAACTCAAACTCAGTCCATCGATTCAACGAAAGCAATGAAGTTATCAGTGTAAGATGAAGTGAAAGTGATTTTGTAAATCACCAAATTGAGCTACTAAGAGAGTAAGAGTGAAGACCAACGATGCAAAGTCTAAAGACCAATGTAACACACACTCCTAATAGTATAAGCCTGTCACTTAGAGCCCGAGAAAACGGAACAGACAACAAAATAGAACACAAAGCCCTTCAAGAGAAAGGAGCTCTTCGAACTAATCCATGAGCGAAACTCATAGCGAAACTACCTGAACCATACAATTACAAAAACTATAGTTGCTACCAATACGTACATTGGCTATTACACATGATTATTATGAAGAATCATTCAGTTTTTGTTAGACGATCGATAACTTCTTATTGTCGACCAAACCACAAGAATATATGAGTCTAATACCAAAAGAGTACGACAGGTGGATTTTATGTCGTAGACTATTTAGTCTATATTGATGCCTTTGGTTTAGCTAGTGAGGTTCGAATATTATTTTTTCACACAAAATTGGAATTTGAATATGATAATGTAAGGTCAGCCAATCTTCTAAATTGATTATATTCTCCAATATACGATAGTGGTCAAAATTCCATTATTGTTTTTATTCATTGATGCATGCACTAAAAGTCTAAAACCATGCATGGATAAGAAGAGTACTATTCTAATAAATAAAACATTTTCATATAAGTTTATGCAAAAGCTTTAAATTTCAATTAAATTAATTCACACATTGCTGATCACTACACTTAAGCCTATAAATACCTTCATCATGAGTAAGGGTTTTGTCATAACAAGATCACAAGACTATGAGAGGTACATAAAAGAAATGATGATGATGATTGACGAGAGTCACTAATTGTATCATAGAGTCTTGCATGGAAAAAATAGAGAATGAGATTGAGCCAAAGATGACTTGCCGATTTTTATCAACAAATCTTAACTGATTATGGTGGCCGGCAAGTTGACTTTGGCTCTGTTTCCTTCTCTTCTTTTCGATGTCAAACTCTAGATATCTATCCATATATCATATCATCATCATTATTAGGTCTTGTAGTATCATTGAAATGTGTTTTTAATGCAAGTATTTGCTGAATAATTGATCTTTTTAAAACTTTGTCCTTCGGAGCCAAACAATTTTTTGGTTAATAAAACATCTCCATTGAATCATACATACACCAGAAGCGAAAAACAAACAAAGATTGAAACAGAAAAATGAAAAAGTGAAAACATTAGAAGAAGTCTTTGTTTTTTTTTACTGCATTCATTCAACACCAAAAATCTGTCTAAGCTTAAGGACTTGTTGATAAACTTTCTCAGATTCAGGTAATGTAGCAGCAACACTGTTTCGTTCAACACATCTCTTTCCCCAAGCCACGATCTTCGGACACTCAGCTTCGACAGAGAAGTCACCACATTTCTCGAGTGCGTAGAACCAACTGTAGAATGGGACAAGAGTTATGTCTACATAACCAAAGGTCTCTCCTCCAAAGTAAGATTTGTCTCCAAGCTCAGCTTCAAGAACCTTCAAGCTCTCAAGAAACTCTTTCTTACCTTTCTCTTGTTCTTCTCCTTTCTTGTTTCCCCAAATCTTTTTCCCTCCTTCAAACGAAATCTGCATTTCAACCGAATCAGAAACAGAGGATTTGAAAACTGAAATGAGTTAACAAACACGAATTACCGTTTTATCAGCGAAATCAGCCCAGAACCTTGCAGTGGCTCTAGATTGAGGATCAGTGGGTAAGAAAGATGCAGCATCGGTCCACGTCTCGTCGATGTACTGAACCTGGATGAGTGATTCAGAGATTGGTGTGTCGTTGTGGATAAGAACAGGGACTTTCTTGTGTACAGGGTTTGATTTCAACAACAGCTCACTCTTGTTCCACAGATCTTCCTCTTGAACCTCAAACTCAACTCCTTTCTCTCTCAACGCAATCTTCGTCCTCATCGCGTAAGGACTTGCCCAAAAAGCCAAAACTACAACTTTGCTATTTTCTTTCCCCATTGTTGGTTCTACAAGTTCCCTGACACAGAGACACTAGCCAAAACCATATATATGTACACAAACACACACACTCATGAATGAAATTAAGAAATGGAAATGGTGCAGACGTGGGAAAGATATTGAGTAAATAAATTTAAGAATGTGCTGTCTAAGGAGATCGTGAAATCAACTCAAAGTTTAAACCTTTAGATGGATTACAGTTGACTTACATACAACGACTTAATACGAGGAAATACAATGGATATAATGTATTATGTAATATGAACAAATCCTTGTACCAGAAGCTCTCAATCTCTTGTTTTCTCCAATGCATTAAGTTTCAGAGCAGCACTACAAAAACCACAACAAACAGGAACCTCCAAATGAGAAAACTCGAACCGAGTCAAAAACATTCTTGATCAAATGAAAGGAAACTACTTTCTGGGTTCCAGACATATTGATATCTAGAATTCAGTGGTTAGTTCAAAAATAATGATGTTCTACTACTCTTTATGCAAATTTAATAAGTTGAGGCTAATAAAAAACCTGTTGAGACAATATCGTTTTCCTGTTGGGCGTGGACCGTCATCAAAGACATGGCCAAGATGGGCATTACAAACAGCACAGACAACTTCTTGTCTGGGCATGAAGATGATAGAGAGGTCTAGCTTTGTCTTTACATTGTTTCCAATTGGTTTATAATAAGATGGCCAACCTGTTCCACTATCAAACTTTGTTGATGAACTGCAAAAAATTATCACTTTGATCTGTTAATAACCATTCATCATCTGGTACGGATTTGAGAATTTTAGCTTCATTAGTTCAACTTCTCTACATATAGAAGTACAATAGAAACTTACTCAAATAGAGGCGTGTCGCAACATACGCAATTGTATACTCCTGGCGTCTTTGTATTCCAGTACTCCCTGAAAAACAAAAGAACAGACTCATTGAATTGTATGAGAATGTTAACTCCAAATATTTCAAGCAATAAATAACTAATAAGATCATTGTGATGATGTTAATAAGGCGATAACTTCGATGAGCATTTCATTACATACCCAGTGAAAGCTCTCTCTGTGCCCTTCTGTCTAGTGATGTAATACTGTTCTGGTGTTAGCCGTTTCTTCCACTCATTTTCACTTAGAGAAGCAAAATCACTCTTCTCAGCCTCTGTACCATCATAAAAATCTCTCAAAATCTTAAAATCGCTTAGTAATTGTTCTAAAGAAAATGGCATTGAAAGTAACACTGTCCACACAAACAAATGCAAAGCATGGATTGGTTCTAAGTGCTCATGTCTCTTTGACCAACTTCTCAAAACCAATTGAGTAACCCAATGGAACATGAAACATAACAATTGGATAAAGCCACATCAATTTATGGACAAAACTCGTTAACCTAAACCCACAAAGAAAGAAACCATTTTTACGCTAATTAGGATTATGGGAAATCAACAGATAATCAGAGAGATATATAATCAGTGAAAAAGGTTAGATTTTTAAAAAGAACCTTGGACGTTGTCTGGTTTCTGAGAAGAACTAGAAGAACCCATAGAAGAAACAGAGAGACTCAAGTTTCTGGGTTTTGAAAGAGAACGACAAGCGAAGCCAGAAAGATTTGGCTTGGAGAAGGAATTGAGTCTTGTTCTTGCAGAGACGAAACTTGATTGTATTGTTAAACTACTAGAAGAAGCCATCACACAATCACAGCTTATAATGGTTTTTCGCCGAAACTTGTTCAATAAACAATGTTGAAGAAGTCTTTCTTTCTTCTGTGAATGGGCGAGAACACGTGGCAGGTTGAGGATGCGAGATGAGATCTGGAACTCTAGCTGCCACGTCGACGCGTTGGTGACCGTTATTGGGCTTTTAAGCATGGATGTGATAAGCCCATTACTAAATCGAGAGAACATGATTTTTTTTTTTTGGCAATTATATGGAAATTGTCGTCTCTTTTTGGGTGAAAATTACATGGAAATCCGAAATTTTATTTGAGTTTTTTTTTTTTAATATACTGGTCACTGGATTTGGTTTACGTAAAAAAAAATCAATTATATTTAGTATATGTTCATTTCTCAAAAAATGAACATATTGTGAGAACTGAGAAGTGAATGATTACACAGTTACATAAGAAACATAATCCTAGTATCCTACATACACGTAAAATCACAGAAACAATGTTTTAATCTTTAAAATAATTGAAAAATTCGAATACAGAGATAAGGACTAAACAAAAATAGCCAAGAAATCGATAAAAAATTGTTTCCTCAGTTACACTCCTCGGCCTTTCCTGCCTAAGATTCCTTTATTTTCTGATGCTCTTTAAAATTGTGTGATAAATAGATAACAATTTTCCTAAGTAAAAAAAATGGTAATTCTTTCTATGTGTGTTACCTCTTGTGATTACATATGCTACAATGGGCCACCGGGTTTCTTGTCGGAGTTTGTTGGAGATTGAGAAACCAAAGTTATTTTTTCGCCGTTCTTTGGCTTATGGTTGTTATATGCAGCTACACCAGCAATGGCTGCAAGTGAACAAAATTTACAAGATCACACTTTTAAGTCTTAATCCAATGATCACTTTTGTGTGAAATGGTAAACATATAAGATGATCTTACCAATGGCGTAACCAAATAAATTGATGATTGTGAGTTTTGTCTCGGCAAAGAGAAGAGCTGAGACCAAAACAACCAACCAATCTTTCACCACGCCAGCAATTCGGATAGTGAGAGCACTTGTTTGAGATATCACAAGAAAAACCGACAAATTGAGAGCAAATGTACATAGCGAATTAAGACTCAACACAAGAACATGAAAGTTCCATGTTTCCATCTTCGACTTCTCAAGAAATATCCATGGTATGAACAAGCAAATCGCGCTGCAACATACACATCAATACAAGTAAAAAAAAATTGGGATTCTTTTAAAAGTAGAAAAGAAAAGGTCCACAAAAGTTTTTTAAAAAATCGTTATAAGAATTGGTGAAATTTAAGAATTTTCTTCAAATTAAAAAAATAGATAATGAGATTAGGGTTCTTTCATTTTCAAAATACCTGCATGGGCTCATGTAGTACATAAGCGAGAGTGGGTTTAATTTGATGCCTTTCCTCTTAACAAGAATTTCCATTAAGATTAGCCTCAAGGCTTCTGAAACAATACCACCCATTTGGTAAACAACTCCAATCCAGTTGATATTTAATTCTCCATAAGACGAGACTAAAACGCCAAAACTTATGACTGACATTATCAAAAGCATCTTGCAGCTCATTATTTCAAGCCCAACACAAACTCCAAGTATAAACACAGCAACAGGCACTGCAAAACATGATTCTTAAGATCATTACATACAAAGTAAATTTGCAAATGCGATTAGGAATGAGCTAAGTTCTTACTAATGGCCTTCAACATTTGGGAAAATGCAACAGTTATGTAGAGGTAAGCTGTGTTTCCTAACCACAGAGTCATTGCAAACATTGCACCTATTGGAATAACTGATGTAACATATCTGAGTACATAGATAGAGTGATGTTTTAGTTTAAAATGTATTTACACAACTCCAAAATATATAAAATAAAATTGCTTACGAAAACTTTCTTTCTTACATGTCTAATGTCATTCCTTCCTCAACCTTCATAACCTTTTAAGGAGACTAAAAATTAGATTATAAGCGTGTTGACTTGTGTATAACTAATATAAGCATTAAAGAAAATTAAGGTCACAATAAGCAATGAGATACCTTAAAAACCTTGGTGAGGAGAAAACACAAAACAGAGGAAAAGCTCATGTGGAGTAATGTCAATCCAAGTGGATAAGGGAAGTTTATTTCCTTAGATGATAATACCCACTGCATCATATGAAGTCAGAAGTAAAAATTAGGGCTGTGACAAAAACACACTGAAAGAAGCTAAAGAGAAACGGAACGAAGTTAAGTTCATCGATCCCAAACCGAACCAAATTTCATAATAGTTTGAACTTTAATAGATTTAGACCGAATAATCGGACCA